CGCGTTTTATCGTGGCCAGAGAGACTGCACGGTGGTGGTCTGTTTGCACGACGCCTGTCCGGTGGTACCTCTAACGCTGCCCATCGGAGAAGGCGTTCTCTCTCTGGGCCGGGAACACCGGAATTGGAGAGACAATGAATGGGGACGAGTACTTTTACAGATGAGAGAGATTCAGTCTGAGTAGCGATTCTCATCGCATACTCATCTGGAGAGAGCGGGGAAGCCGCAATCATCCTCGAACATCATTGAAAGGTACAGGTATGGAGGTGGCGGTGTTCTCGTTTGGGGAGGCATCATGCTTGGTAGTCGTACAGACCTTCACATCTTCGACGCAGGTTTCAGTCAATGGACCCGTTATTGTAACGAGATTCTTCTCCATATGTGCGTCTTTTTAGAGCGCTATGGGTCGCAGTTCCTTTCATGGGGACGACAATGCACCATGTCATCGCACAATAGCTGCCGAACAGCTCTTAGAGAGTGAGGACATTGAACGTATAAATTGCCGGCACGATCTTGGATCTCAATCCCATCGAGCATGTATGGGATTTTCTAGGCAGACGCTTGGCAGCTCGTACCTACCACCAGGAACGATTCCGGAGCTTGATTGGCGCTGCAAGACGAATGGGGCAGCCTCAACAATCATTGACACCCTCATTCAGCATGGGCAGACACTGTGAAACCTGCCTAGCAATCCGGGGAGAAGACCGGATGTTTTGCGGCCCAGCATGCGGGCCTTCAGTCGCATTGCATGCTACTTTTTCATAAAGCTTCTTTTTATCCTCTGATTCTCTTTAGTAAGTGTTGCTTACATTCATGTCCTTACGTATGGAGATCTTACGGTTAAATGTGTTGAGTTGGAAAGCTTTGGACAAAGTTATATTGAAAAAACCCTGGTCCTAAAGTTGTAACAGGGATTATGGGAGAGTTGTCCAGGCCAGAAAGCGCAAGTCATGATGGTCTGATAACGGAGAGGCCTTGTAATGCCAGTGAAGAGTATTTCCCAATAAGGGGTATAAGCTTGATGTTTTAAGTGCCCTGTACGCACATTTACACAATGTGTCCAAGTAAGACGGTCATTAAATAAAACATCAAAATATTTGGCCTGGGAAACCACCGGAACAATTTCGTTGAATAAAGAAAGTTGTTTTTTGATCGGAGGGTTCCTTTAGCGCAATATGAGTCAGTTTCTGTTTATTGAGACTTTTGTAAAGGTCTCACGAGGAGTTAATTCGAATAATGGAAACGATCGTTTGCCTCATAGAGATTTATTCGAAATTGCGTGCAGTCTCGTATATAGCAAGAAAAAATTAAATATGAAGGCAAGCCATTTCCTTTAAGGGTTTCTATATACAATCTTACCACGATTTTGCATAAAACATCCCCCCTTTAAGTTTGTCCCATGATCTGTGAAACTCTATATAATCTTACCATAATTCAGCATAAAACATAAGCGAAGCATCGAGACTTCGATTACAAAGTGCAAAGTATGTCAGCTATTCCCCATCGATGGTGAAAGGACAGTTGATGCCAGCTGAAAAAGTGACGACCTTTCTCAAAATGTCTTTGGTATTTCATAAAATGCTTTAATTCTTAAAGGAATAAAGTCCTGAAATTTCTCTTCTTATTGCGCCTCACTTCAGTAGGAGAGATCATGAGGGAACAAAACGCGGTTTTAGAAATTAAATAGATTTTTAGCTGTCAGGCTAAAATAAATTTAGTATCCAAATGCCCATCTTTTCAAAAAAGTTTTGTCTCTGAATTAAAGGTACCTGCGTGATTACGCTCGAAATCTGCAGAATGTTTTCAAAATCTACGCCAAATTTTAAGCATTGTGATCAGCTTTTATTCTTGTCGGTTTGTAATTCGGTTTGTAATTAACCTATAATCAGCCCAGTCTGCTAGTCTAACATATTATAGCTCTAGCTAGTTCTTAAACCTATTATACTTCAAAAAATTTAAACCATTCAGGATACTTACATATTTTTCCATGGAGCACGAAAATTTGCAGAAATTTCACAAACATTCTGGTTGAAGTTTAAAGGAATATTTCGCTCTTCATTTAGTTAGATAATCAATGGATACAAATTACAAATACAGGCTATAAAATTCTTAAATATGTGATTTTAACGAAAGCTTCCAGCCACAGCAAATATTGTCTGCGCATACAGCTCATGTAATCTTATTTCATCAAACTATTTTCGTCAGTTGAAAGAAAGACTTGCTTTAGAGCACTGTGTTGTGAAATATGCAAAATATATTATTTTTAATTACAAGGTGTTCGAAATGGAACAATTACGCTTCCAGATTAGAACCATCATTTATTTCCAGTTCTGTTGCAAAACGTCAGCTGTAAAATGTCACCAAATCATGTGTTAGCTTTAGGCACTAATGTTGTATCATATGACACTGTGAAGGTTCGGTACCGAAGGTTTAAAAACAAGGTTATGATATTATACCTATTGGTGTTAATGATAACTATTGATGTTAATGAGACTTGCTTGCCAGAACTTGTGATCAAGAAGATCACTAAGAAAAAGGTCAGTATACAACCACTCGAAAGCCTGCTACGGAGTTAGACATTAGTGCCATGCCCATTAGTCACGCTATATATCGCATAAAATTGATGTACAAGTCCAATCGCTGGGTCCTGCATGAACTAACTCAAGCACATAAGGATATTGTTCGTGCCTGCATTTGTCTGCTCGAATATGAATACAGGGACAAACTCCTGGACCGGATAGTCACTTGCGATGAAAATTCAATTTACTTCAACAACACAGCCCAAAAAGGGGGTTGTTCTGCACCTGGTGAGCATCACAAAGCGCAATTTCACCAACAAAAAAGTCATGCTTTGTATCTGGTGGGACTGCCATGGTATTATGCATAAAGAGTATCAGGGAAAAATTAAAAACTCTCGAAAGTAAGGTGTACAGCGAGATTTAGTCAGTATTGACGCTGCTATTAAAGAAAAACGTCGAACTGAGTTCCCGCGCAAAACCGTAATGTTCCATCAACATAATGTAACAACAGATGTGTCTACATTAACTGGCTGGACTCTAAGGACTCGAATCGGATTTTTTGCCACACCCACCATACAGCCACGACATCTCTCCTTCGGACTTCTACCTTCTATTACACCTGCAGCTACATCTTGCTGGTGCTATCTTCCATTCTGCGCAGGACATTCAAAATGAGGTTGATCTCTTTTTGGACTTGCGGCCACCAAGTTTTTGGGCCAAAGGCTTTGAAAAACTATCAAAACGTTGGAAGAAAATCATAGATTTGGATGGTGATTACTATACGCACTAAAATTATTCCTTTAATGTGTTTTGCCCTAACTTTATTAAGAACCTGTTTTCGCGGAAAACTTTCGTTGCAACTAGATATAAGCTTAGACTTTTGACAGTGATTCCCATAAAAGTTTGAAATTAATTATACTTAATTTATCTTTCTTTACAAAAACGAAGTAAAATTATCGAGGAGTAATTGGGATTAGATAAATGGAAAAATCTTACAAGTGTATTGCGATATGACACTTATCCATTATTAGCCCTTAATCACCCTCTTTGGCAACAGCTTTCGTTTGTCAAAAACAGTCAATAATAAAATATGCAAGTACCCCATTATATTTTATTTCAGTCTCGCAAAAATATTCTACGCATGTTTTGCATCATTCTTCTTTACAGTTTATGAGTATTTACATAGGCAACAAAAATTCATTTGAAAGCAAATTTATTGTCATGTGTTCCATAATGAAGCAGGAGATTCACTTTTTGAATAGAGAATTTTGAAAATTTTGTACGCTTGTATGGTCTTTTTCCAGTATGAATGGCTTCATGATTTCGAATATTAGTAATGTTACTGATGTAAGATGCTGTAATGCTTGAATATGTTCTGTAATGCTTGAAATATGTTCGTATAGCTGTAGACCGACCTCCTAAGAACGGAAAAAGTAACTATCGTATTGGAAATACGCAGTAGATTCTAATATCTACTTTATAATCGTATATTATCTCTGCTTAGACAACCATTCATTATTTTTAGACTCATCGCATGCACAACTGCTGCTTTTTATTAAAAAGAGAACTAAGCATATCGATACTTTTGATAACTGTAGCAACAATATGAGCCTGTTTCTGTTTATTAAGACTTTTATAAAGTTCTCGCGAGGAATTAATTGAAATGGAACTATTGACTGTATCAGATTTTTTCGAATTGCGTGGAGTCTCGTAGTAACAAGAAAAAAATTAAATATGAAGGCGAGCCCTTTTCTTTACGATTTTCTGTATACAATCTTACCACAATTTTATAAAACATAAACGAAGCATCAAGACTTCGAAATCGATTTAAAAGTGCAAAATATATCAGTTATTCCTCATGGATGGGCGAAAGGGAAGTCTGTCATCCGAAAAAGCGGCGACTTCTCAAAATGTCTTTGGTATTTCATCAAATTGCTTCAATTCTTAAAGAAATCAGGTTTTAAAAATTGCCTTCTTATTGCGCCTCCCCTTAGTGGAAGAGATCATGAGAGTCACAAAATGCTATTAAATCGTTAAATTTTTAGCTGTCAGGCTAAAATAAATTTACTATACAAGTGCTCGTCTTTGAAAAACATTTTTTTGCCCTTAATTAAAGGTACCTGTATGATTATTCTTGAAATATGTAGAATTTTTTTCAAAATCTACGCCAAATTTTGATCATTGATTAGATTTTATTCTTGTCGGTTTGTAATTAACCTATAATAAGCACAATCTGCTCGTCTGTAAGCCGATGTATTACTACTTGTGAAAAGCTTTGCATTAAAAGAAGTTATTGCCAGTTTTCTAATAAACAATTCATTTTTATATGCTATTAACATTTAAACCTGGAAAATTAATAAATTATCGAATTGACTGTGTTTAGAAAGAATCAATTGTAATGTAATTTATATCAGATGGCACCAGAGTAAAATTTTAGTATTTTGAACATAACTAAACATTGCATAATATAAAAATTTTTAATTTTCACATCAAGTGTAAAATATACAGCATTCTAAAAACATTTTTCAAATATAAAGTTTAAAACGTCAAAAATTATTAAAACTTAAAATCAAGTTTTAAAAATCCAGCTATTCATAGAGTTAAATTGAGACCGGGAGGGCTTGTACTTGAGGGCATTGCGTCTAGTTCATACAAAAGTAACTGAAGTGATACTGCTAAGAAGAAAATACCAGTCCAGAAAAATAGTACACCGACGAAAATTTTCGAGAAATATAGGAAGAGCAGGCCACACATAAGGCAGAAAATACCCAGAAAAGCTGCAAATACAATCACGGGGGCTAACACTATGCATAATGCCACCTGATCCATGAAAGATCTTCTGCGAATAGACATCTGAAACAAAATTATTAATATAATTATGATTATTTTAACTAATATACGACATTTGGAAATATGTCTTAAGGTGTTTATTTTCAGTAAAATTTTAGTAATTCTTACTCCTAAAGTTCAGGAGTCGTAACATACAAGTTCAAAATGATTTAGAAATAATTCAATCATAAAAATGACATAGTTTAGGAATCTTATTTTTACTTTATCTTAATCAACATTAAGCAAATTTCTTAATATAGATTTGATTTTGAATTTTATAGCAATTCATTAAAATCGCTGTACTAGTGGCAAACAATGTGCAGTGATTTTCGGGATCGACCATATTGATAGCACTTTACAAATAGCAGAAAGTCTTGTCCAGGCGTTTTGCACTATAAAAAGGAAGTACACTATAATTTAACCATAAGCCCAACTGAGGAGGTGAAAAATCTCGCGATTGCTTGCAAATAATAAGTAAGAACAAAAATAAAATTAATCATTCTGCTGCCAAACCACCTCATCATATGCCCATAAATTGGGAGACTTTCTGAAAATTATTAAAGTGCTCTTGTTGAAGGAACTGAAACAATATCTTGCATTCTTATTGCTTTTGACTCCTCCAATAATCGTTATTTGGTGCGTAATTTTAATTCAAAATGCTCTTTTACTCTACAGTGCTCCCACTCCTATTTTTCGAAATGAAACTGCTGATGACATAGTATTCACCTAAATCACTTTTTCTGCAGTACTGCACATTATGGACTTTTATAAAACCCTTTGATAATCTAATTTTGATTGAACCTTATTTAAAATCATTTCATTTTTGCAACAAAGAATATTTCAAGTTGGTATGATTAAAATGCAAGTATTTTTAGAAGTAGAATTTAGAAGTAGAATTTTTAGTAGTAGTAGAATTATTCAACAGTTTAAAATATAAGAATGAAAATTAAATCTTGCACACAAAAAAAAAGGGAGGCGGGACAGTTCTATAATCTTTGGTTCTACTGGATAAATTAACGAAATTTGCGTTTTTCATGCCTCAAAAGCGCAACTTTGGATAGATATTAGATCTATATCATTGTTCTAACATAGGTATTTTGGCATAAAATCGGACTCTTTCTAAAATGGCATACCGATTGTTTTCCATATTTCGATTCTAGGACTTAAATTATACGAAATATTAAATTTTGTGAAATTTAGTGGCCAACTTGCAGAAATATTAAAAAGTCAGTCTCTGCGCACTTTTTTCCAATTTGCTCCAAGAATAATTCACTTAGCGAAATACTTAATCTATAGCAGCCTATTTCCTTTTCGCTTTTTTCATAGTGCACGAGCAGAAAAAAGGAAGAAAGCAGAAAAAATTAAATAATCAATGGATCATCATTCATTCTTTCAAATAATTTTAACAAAGTGCGTAAAGCACATTTGGCGTTACTATTGCTTATAACCAAAATGCCAAATCTCAAAATACTCCAGTCTATAAATTTACGTACATCTTTGGAAATTTTGAATAAAAGCTAATTTTTTGCAGGTATACCTAGAAATACATCAATTTTAAGATGTTAAAAATTTTACAGTTTATAGTTCAGAAATCTTTTCGAAAAATTTATATAAATTAATAAAAAATACAAGTTTTAAAGACAAATCAGGAAATAACTGCGAATTTTTTTGGATTCAGCTTAAATTTCGAACTATGAAAGAAGGAATCAAGTAAGCTTTTTTTAAAAAAAGAGGCAAATATATAACAAATTCAATTAACATTGAGGAGCTAAAATTCCAAGAGTTAATTTTTAAAAACTACTCCTGTGATTTTTTACAAAACTTGTAATTTTGGCATAATCTGAGTTGTAGAATCGAAATACGGAAAAAAACTGTCGTATGCCATTTCAGAAACGTCCAGTTTTATGTCAAAATACCCATGTTGGTACAATGCTATATATAAATCTAATATATATATATCTTAAGTCACCCTTTCAAAACAAGAAATGAAAGTTAAATTTTGTCAATCACCCCAGTAAAACGGAAGATGCAGACTGTCTTCTTTGTGCAAGGTGTACAAAAAAGTATTACTCATAGTTGCTAGGTAGGGAGACTGAAATTTGCATTTAAAACGTAAGTCCTCAAACTGCTGCCGAATTAATTAGTGCCACAAATTAAACTTCGAATAATTTAAATTTTAAACTTGTTCATATTTTACCTTTACCGAATGGCATTTTTCGTTACACATTTACTTACCGTTTGTATTAAATATAAAACTTGAAAAATCAAGGTGACTGCCATTAAACTAGTAACAGTAGCAAGCGCTTTTTCCAATAAATTTGACCACATAGCATGTTGATTCGCAAATAATTCACAAATTGCAAAAATAGCAAAAATAAGGCCTTTGCCCACTCGTCTTATTGTCCTCTCGTTCCAATCCATTTTTCTGAAAATATGTTAAGCTAATTTATAAAAGTTAACATCTATTAAATAATCAATGATCATCAAAACAAGTAAAAACATAGCGGGTTCTACAGAAAGTATAAATTATTCTTTACAGCATCATGTAAAGAAAGGGGAAGTTAAGTTCTTTGAATAAGTTTTATACTAACCCTTTTAATTTTATTGTCGTATCCAAATATTTTTGTAATAAAATCGCTTATTCTTTCAAAACTTATAAATTAAATTCATTGATTTATGGAAAATTTCAAAATATTCATTTGGTGAATTTAGGTATAGCATTACAACAGCAATTGTTTCTTATCTGCAGAATAAATACTTTCTTGGTTTAATAGAAATTTTAGAAACAGTCCGAATTGAGCTTTACTTATTCATTATTTACGTTTGCACATTTTATGCAGACGTTCATGAAAAAAGGATAATTTTTTCCCCAATTTTCATTAATAGCGTTTAAGTTCAAAATTGCTTCATTTAGAAACGTTCCTGTCGTTCCGAAAATTTGTAGTGCAATTAACTGGAGAATTCCTGGTACTTCATTGACTGTATCTATACAGTAATAATATAATTCACTATATCTATACAATATATAAGGATCGAAAACTGCCTGTACTATTGAGATACTGATGATACTTCAAACTGAAATAATTTTTCTACTTTATATTAGGTAAAAAGTCAACACGATGACAGGAACTGAAAGAAGCTTTTGTTGATATTTTGATTTCGATATGTTGATATTCTTTGTCATATTTTATCTATAGCATATTCTCAACCTGAAAGTTATTTTTTATATTTATTCATAAAAAATTTAAATAAAATATTTTTAGTCACAAATAAAATTTCATTTTATATTTATTATTTTACTAGTCAAAATTTAATTTTTTAAAAACCAACAAATATTTATACATGTATCACTGAATGTCAGTAAGCGTTCAGCATAAAACAAATTCATTCACAGCATATTCATCATGAAATAGTTAATCATCGCAGAAATGGGGATATTGTATGTATCACTCTAATATTAATTCAGATTTTCTGGTCTTTTGTTCTAATATAGTAGAGACTCGGAATGGCACCTGCACATAAATACAAAATGGTTTTAATTTTTAAATACTATTGAAGCCAATGAAATATTTTATAATTAGAGTTATATTTAATATAGTACTTCGTTAAAACCAAGAATGTGAAATTTTCATACTCAGGTTTTTCAAATTTTCAGGTGAACACATCAATTTTATTTTAATACAATTATTTTCCTTATCTACAAATTATTACACCTTTATAGAAAGTTCCTTCAGTTAAAATTCTCAATTTTCCCGTGCGTTTTCGAATGGCCATTATAGAGTGTAATATTAGAGTTTTGTGCCGATTTTATCAAATTTTGCCCAAAAATATTAACCTTTTCTCTTTGTTTCAAAGCATTTGTTGTTTTCTTATAACGGTTTCTAAGCAATTCTACAAGCATTATTATTTAAATCGGACATAAACATTCGGATAATCGTTATCCAAGAAAAAACTAATATTCAGAACTTCACGTTTTATAGCAGCATACTTCTGCTTTAAAAATTACTTTTAACCGACAGACTTTTAGCGTTAGTTCTAATTCATTTTTCATTGTTGAGTGTGTATGCCACATTACTTTCCAATCAAACTAAAAATGCTCTAATATAGTTACCGCACTATAGCGCTTTCAATGTAGCATTTTGCGGTAAAATTTTAGGGCTTTAATTCGATGTTAAGTTAATTTCTAGTAAACTTCGGCATTTAGTAAAATATATTGAAGATTAGCATATTTATTTAAATCTATTCTGAACTTAAATGTAAATTTGGCGTATACAGGAGAAATTATTTCCTTGTTCAAATAAACAGTTATTTCTTAATGCAAGTTAGCTAAATCTCGATTTCAAAAACTTCTTAAAGGTATTGTAAATGGTCCATTAATCTTCCATGAAACAATCTTTCAATTTTGTGATACAAAGTATCAATTTTCCTGCAGATGGTTTTTCATTTTAACGTCAAAAATAAAATTAGTTTTATGTTCAAAATAACAGTTTAAATTGATTCAGTATTATTTGAAAAGTATAAAATAACTAAAATTACGTTTTGATTTCCTGGGGAGAAAAGAATTTAGAGATATATAGGAGTTTCATTTCCGCATCGTTATCACACGCACTTGCGTATTTCCCTTTATATTCTTCATATTCATTAAATCAACCTAGCGAAGAAAAGTGAAATTCTTTTATGCAAATTGTTTAACGTTTAACAGATGTGACAGAAATCGTTTTACGTAACTGATTCTACAGGCCCACAGAAAATTTCAAGGAAGTTCCGGCCCACCAGCGGCAGAGCGGTAAAGCCACTGAACACTGGTAGTTCAATCAGGGGTTCGAATTTCGGGGAATGGACTGGCTGCATGGGTGTTTTCCCGTGGGTAACATGTATCCAGTTTTTCTCAGAACTGTAACCAGTTTCCCTTAGAAAGCTTTTCACGAAGCCATCGCTCCCCCGGGGCAGATAACCTCGGGTGCTTTGCCATAATTAAATAAACCAAACAAGCAATTTTCTAATATCTGGACTAACTGAAGCCGATGCCCATAACAAGCTGTTTAATTTTGTCGTCTTTTCTGTAGGTGTCGTTAGGTTATTTGTCAGTGCGCGGATTTAGGAGACACTTTTCTTATTCAGTACAAGTTCATAGGAGCGGCCCAGACGGTATAGTGGTTAGGGGAGCCTGACTGAGTGCCGCCTGAGATAACCACTGACCTGACTTTGTTGTAAAATCTTAGTGTTAATAGTCATCTTGGCAGAAGGGATTATTTCTTCCGTATAAAAATCTAAATATTACATGGGCATACAAGGCCTGTGTATAAGCTTAGATATGTTCTTACAAACATTATCTTGTATAAGTTACATGTGATAAAATCATGACAGTTTCGTGCACATTTAAACATCATCTGAATTCATTCATATTTACAATATTTTTATAGAGATAATCAAAATAAACTTCTAATTCATTTACACATTGACTGGATTTTCAATGTCATTTTTAACTGCTTTACAATATAATTTTTAACAAGTACATACAAAATGGACAGTAATAAGCTTAAGTTACAATAGTTTTTGCTCTTATAGTCCTGTTACTATTCTCCGGGATGAACTATTTTTCTAATGTCGATTTTCAGTTATCTGGCTTAAACTGGGTGCGGAGTTATGCGACTCAATTTTCTGGTACTTTAGCTGAATTGCTTGGAAAAGTTCCAACTGCTATTAAAGTTGTAGTATCTCTTAGTACCTTGCTGAAAGCATAGCCTGATCATCTCTATCTTAGTTTTGCCCTGCTTGTTGCCGCATGTATTCTCCGCCCACTGCGGCCAGTATTCACTGCTTGGCTTTTTTAAATGCAATTTATTGGTTTGTGGGCAGTTGAAGTAGTGATCTGCATCACCTACCGTACCACATTCACACAATTCTGATGCTCTTAAGATAATTTGCCGAATCTCTTAAGATAATGTGGGAAGGGACCATGGCCAGTGTAGAATTGAGTTTGTGCTCCGCTACATGTTTTAATTGAGCATGTAACTTTCGGAAAGAACGTGTAGGTTTTCCTCCCTGTGCTTTCCCCTTCTCATATTTTCTTTCATTCTTGTAAAAGGCTATTGGGCGTGATTTTTTTTTAAATAGCACTGCGGCCCACTTGCTGCCTTTCTGGGTTCGAATCCCGGAGAAGACATGGTTGTAACTGTCCGTCCCTTCATAAAAAGCAATGGTGGCTCACCTATTGGGTGCCTCCATAACAGAGATCACCACATCTAGCCTTAATATAGATCAATGGACTCTGTTACAAAACTGTAACTGTTAACAATCTGCCATTGGAAAAAAATTAAAAAAACAACTTCATATGAAGGCGGAGAAATCTGTTGCGATTTTCATATGCTTGCTAGATATCACGAAGTCTGTTTAATCGATCTGCTGAATTCTAAAATACATTTCGAAGCCTGTAAATTATTGGCGGGTGACAACCAACGCTAAATCCTGAATTGGTTTGATTTGTCTGATTATGCCAAAACACGTAAGGTGTATCTGCCTATATGGATAGTCTTCATGAATCTGCCTTCATGGAGGCCTTTCTAAGGGAAGCTGGTTCATTACACATGGTAGAAACCACGAAAACGCCAACACATTCAACTCGTTCGCCAGGATTTGACCCCAGATCGAATTACCAGCATTCAGCGACTTTTGCTGCTCTACCGTTGGAAAGCCTACCGTAGTTTCAAATTATATATTTAATTATAACATAGTATTTAATATAAAAGATGAAAATTTAATTTCGTTGCAAGTTAAAAATTCAATTAACTGATGTTTCAAGCCGAAGTGAAATTTGTAAACCGACATGATTAAGTTCCTACAAGTTAAAATTTTTCATTTTACGCAATACATTTATCGATTTCAGCAATATTCAGGCTTAGCAGCGACCAAGCGGTGAAGTCGCTGAATACTGGTAGTTCGGAGAACTTCAAATACAAACTTCGAGTTCCAAAGAACGAGCTGGCTGCATGGGAGTTTTCGTGTTTTCCCCCATGTGTAACACATGCATACTAGACAATTTCTTTGGAAAATCCTCCATGAAGGCATCCCTCCCATCAGGCAGATAGTTCGCTAGTACTTAATAAATAAATAAACCAAACCAATAATATGTACTGGCATTTGGCGTAGTTTTTCGAATAAGATTAGTTTTCCATATTAGCTTCTGCAAATTTTGCTGCCATTCCTCCAATAGATGAGTTCCCCCCCCCAAGTCATTTTTTATTTGATACATTGCGTTTCCTTTTAGCCTCTTATGAAGAGCTGTCCAGATTTTCAATATCAGAGGCATTTCAAACATTTGCAGTCGTGTGAAAGCCAGTATCAAGGATGGTATTAATGGTTATTTACCTAATCGTATACCGAACTGTCCCAATTTCAGAATTTCGAAAGGTATTCCAGAATATCTTCACATATTGTTATAATATTTATGTCTATTCGTTTTGAAGTCAAATTACGAATTCACGACATGGTTGCTGCAGAGACTTTATATTAAATTTTCTGCCGCAAAATACGTTAACATGGGAGCAAGTTTAGGAATTTAGCTTATCACTAAATTTTTACAAATTGCAGTTAAATAAATTCAATGTACTTTAGTAAGTAGCATAATTTTACAAAAGCAAATTCTTAATGTAAGATTTACTGAAGATATTTCGATTATAATTTTACTATAATTTTTAAAAGAAATTTCTGGCAGCTTCCATTTTTCACTCAGTGCCAGTATAGAAATACTTTTAATCTGTTATGAGAGTAAGTTAATTCATTCGAAAATATTTTCTAACAAGTCATTTTTATTCGCCATAAGGATTTTGTTATATTCCACAGCGTTCTTTTAGCACTCATCCTAAACTTCTAACCTATATAATTATGTCTTGTATTTTATTAAAGAACATTAACAACTTCAATTATTCTTGCGAATTGATTTTGCAGTATGTAGCAAAATATACATTTCTTAATCAGGAGTTCTCAATCCACTTCGGTGACCCATTTCAAAAACTGCATTTTATTGAGAACTGGCACATTTATTTTCACATTTCCTTATATATTAAGTTTGGGAAGTCTTTTTCGTGCATTCAAATTCAAAAAGGAAACTATACGATATTTCTTTAAACCTATATCTCTTTGTGTTAACCGAGTAAATGCACTACTTCTATTACACTGGGAAAATATTCACACTTTACTAATACACGTTTTTAATTAAAAATTAAATTCTAATAACATTTCAAAAATTTAAGTAGCTCGTCATGCTAATCACATCGAAGTATGTAAAATTACAGCAGGCGATTTCAAATTATGTTTATGCAACAAATGAAAGCTACAAAGATTTTTTTTTTTTTTTTTTTTTTTTTTTCCCAATTATGAAACCAGGATTTGTCAAAATTGAGTGATATTTGTTTGGGAAAACATCCACTCGTCAAAATTTTATCAACTACTCCAATAGAAAAGTTATTAAATAAAATATTCATTTTCGAACATTGTTTTGAACAATATTTTGCGATTCATTTTTCAATCGCATGTACAGTTCAGGCCCAAATTAAGATGTTTAAAGGCCCCTAAGTATTTCAGAGAATTTTATGCTTCCATATATGCTTACGTCAGTTTTTCATTCCTTTTCTGTTTCGAACCCACCAGTGGCCGAGCGTAAAGGCTTTGAAGAGAGACTGTGATTTGAATCTCAGCGAACGGGCTGGCTGCATGGGCGTTTCGTAGTTTTTGCCATGTGGTAACGTGCGTGCGAGCCAATTTCCCATTTAAAATCTTCCACGAAGTCATCTTTTCCCTTAAGCAGCAGCTCTTGAGTGATTTCCCGTAATTAAATAATAATAGTTCTCTCTCGGTTTTGATTTAACTGCACCATGCATTCCACGATAAAACCGGCCCACCGACGGCCGAACGGTAAAATAGCTGAACACTGGTAGTTTCGATCTAGGTTCGATTCTAGGCGAACGGGCTGGCTGTACGGGCGTTTTAGTGTTTTTTTTCCTCCCCCCATGCGTAACGTGTATACAAGCCAGTTGCCCTTAAAACATTCTCCATGAAAGCTGCCCTCCCCTTAGGCAGATAACCCTTGATCATGAACAGAACTTCGGTGTCAAATTTTTATCTAGGCAGACTTATTTAAATTTTTAAAATTTTACAAGTAGCAAAATTACTTATTCAGCTCCAAGAAAACTAAAAGCAAAACATGCCTCCTTCATATCCGATGTAAAATCAAAGTCCGGTAGAATGATCCGATACTTAAAATACTACTAACTGAAATTTAATACTATGAAATTTTTCAATCTAAAAATTGAATTCTTAGAGACACATCAAAAAAAACTGAGTGCATGAAACCATTGTAATGAATTCAAGGAAGATGAAAATTATTCTTACGTGAATTATCTTAAATGTGTCTAAAAATATAAAATTATCAGATAAGAAATATACTAATAAAACTTACATATACGTCTCGCTGTGCTTAAAAATTATGCACTATACAGTGTATCAAGTGAGCTTTACGATCGTATTTTAGTGAAGTACTTTCACAGCTTTCCAACAGTCATTTTCAACAGTCCATTAGTATATATATAGCCTATCATTTCCAGGTCTATCCACTCAACTCTTTTATTACATGGAAATTCACCCTAGCGGCACTTCATTCATTCAAAAAATATCTACCTTAATATTCAATCAAAAAATATCTTAGCGTTTTCTACCTGCGTATTTTAATACAAGTATTTTCTCTTTTATGTTAATTCGCTTTATGCCACATAGCTTCTCCGAAAAGTTTACTTTAATATTGTAGACGCAGGGGTTCTTAACCGGTGATACGCAAGAGAAAAATGGGTGGTACGCAAAGAAGCAAAGTATTTTTAACTATTAAATTCAAAAATTAAAACCCCAACATCCTCATTGAATTTTTTTTTTCCTAACACTCGTAAAATTTATGCGATCTGAGCTTTGTTCAAGAGTGGTGGTGGTAGTAAAACTTTGTAGTGGTGGTACTAAAGGTTTTCAATTTTTGTTTAGATGGTACGCGTTAGTCAAAAGGTTGAGAACCGCTGTTGTAGAGGTATATGCGTGATTTTCGATATTCACACTCTAGCGAATAAAGTTATTGCCCAACTTAATCAACTACGTTGAGAATTAATTTAGAAGTCAAACAACAAAAATCAGAGTTATATTTGCAAATTTTCACAGTAAAACGTGCGAAATTTTGCAAATATAAGGCTGATTTTTGATGTTTGACTTCTAAATTAATGTTTGTTCGACTTGTTATTTATCTTAATTATATTGAGAATATTTGTGAGATGAAAAGGTAATACTTGTACACACTCTTCATCTTAAAAAGGCTTCCAAAATTTGGGGTTTTGTCAATTTCAACTCAGTCCAATTTATTTTCAATGTTGTCTGATTCATTTTTACCTTTTCTTGAACTCACAGATAAAAAATAATATTTACAATAACGTTTTTCCTTTGGAAGATTATCATTTCTCTCTGAGTAAGCCATTTCAGTAACTTATTTTTACAGTACTGAATCATGTTATATCCTTATTTTACATTAAAATAGCTTAAAATGCAGCTTTATTAATGAAGGATTAAAGGGGAAAATAAGGTTTGCACTCTTTTCTAATTATTTCTTAAGAATTTTAATTAAACATTTTGACACATTAATGCAGATCGTTGAGTTCAGGTGCCCGATGGAGGGCAAATTAATTAGCGAATTAATTTTAACTTTTCGTTGAGTAAAAATGGATTTGTGTGCATTATACAAGAAAGGAAACATTCCAAAAGACTTCATTTATTTGGCATGCACAATTTCTTTTCTTAAATAGATTAATAGTACTTGCTAAGTGAAAAATATTGTTTGGCTGTCACTGAAGGCTAAGGTTAGTTAATTTAGTGATTGAGTTATGCCAAAGTGAAAATTTAGTTATCTCTAGCCGATTAAAGGTTATAAACATATCAACTAGAGGAATCGTAAATTATTCTCAGGCTTAGACCAATAGAAATGGTAGTATGTAATTTTTAATAAACTAATTAGAATACATGCAAACGGTTCACAAATTATGATTTATTTTATTTTATATATTTTATTTATATGCATGATTATTTTATATATTTTATTATTTTATTTATATGCATGATTATTTTATATATTTATTATTTTATTTATATGAAAATTTCCTTTTTGTTATACAGACCTTCAATTAAATTTATTTATACTTATTTCAAAATTTTTCGATTGGAGATTGTTTTTAAGTCACTTCAAAAAATATTTTATATGCATAATTTTTCACAACTAATGGGCTTAAATCCACGCAATTAGGCTAGCTGTATAAGCTTTTCGTAATCTTCGCAAATGTAAGATGATCCGTTCCATTTGCCGTTGACGCCGCGTCTAGCTTGCAAAACTGCAAGCTGTATACCGGTTATCTTCATTTGGCTGCTTCATGTAACGATGCAGGGATAGAAATGTCTAAGTGAATCCTACAGACAAGATATAATACATAAAATACAAATTTTTCTCATAAACTGGAAGACTAGATACACAATATTTACAACCATTTGCTTTGCATTAAATGAGTGATGAGGATGAAGTCAAAATCATGCTATAACAACATATTCAGCTGAGATTTTGGACACAGCAAATGCGAAAGCACATTTAAGCTTTATGTAGGAAAATTTTTGGTTTTTGCTAAACAGGAAAGCCGCAAAAGGGCGAAGATACTGAAAAGTTGTACTCGTAGCTGAAAAGTTCAAAGTGGTTCATTATATTACATTCTTGTGCTTCCTGATACAGGGTAACAAATATTGAACTATATGAAGTAAAACCGTCATAAATTCTGAACCTTTTGCGTGATGAAGTTGAAACTTCGTGGTTGGCCGAAGGGCATGATGGGAACTAGTATGCGCATGCGCACGCTACTTGTTATTGTGACCATTTGCAAGTGAAAATGTCACGATACAGCGTGCCTGAGCGTATAGCGCAATCGAAAAGTCTATGCATCCTCAACGAGTGACTGTGTGATGTGCAGTGTCCAGTCACGGAATAATCGGTGCGATATTCGTTGATGGCACGGTGACCACTGAACGATACGTAAATGTTTTGGAAAATTATTTCATCCCCATTATCCAAAGTTACCCTGATTTCGACAAGATGGGGTTCATACAAGACGGAACTCGACCCCATCGGACCAAGAGAGTGTTTGATGTCCTGGAGAAACACTATGGGGACCGCATTCTGGCTTTGGAGTACTGAGAGGCCACTGGAATAGGACTCGCTTGTCCGCCATATTCTCCGGATCTGAACACGTGTGACTCATTTTTGTGAGGCTATATTTAAGACAATGTATATAGAAATAACCCAAAATACATTTGTTGAGCAGAAAACTGCCATTCAGGAGATCATCGACAGCGTCGATGTTCCGACACTTCAGCGAGTCATACAAAATTTTGCTATTCGTCTGCGCCACGTCATAGTCAAAATGGCAAGCATATCGAACATGTCCTAACCTAAATCCGAATATCTGCAGTGACATTTATATGTTGGTTAAAGTTTGTGCTCTCAGTTGTTTTTAAATAATTTATTTTTTATTTCGTATAGTTCAATAATTGTCACTTCAGCAAGTCATACAGAATTTTGCTATTCGTCTGTGCCACGTCATAGTCAAAGATGGCAGGCATATCGGACATGTCATAACCTAAATCCGAATATCTGTAGTGACATTTACATGTTGGTTAAAGTTTGTGCTCTCAGTTGTTTTTAAATAATTTACTTTTTATTTCGTATAGTTCAATAATACTCACTCTGTAGAAGCGTTCATTGAGTTTTCTGAGAAACTTCGCCAATGGTTCGATCTTACGGTCGTCGTGAAGATATTTGTTACGTGCATAGGAATGGGCATTTGTAATCATGCGAAGATATCTACTTTGCACCACTTCAAACTTCTTAAGTTACTTGTCGGAGATAGTTGTCCATGCCGGAGAAGCGTAAATCATGACTGGTCTGATAACGGAGAGGTCTCTTTTTGTTCAGGTCCAGTGAAGAGTATTTCCCAATAATTGGGTATAAGCTTTAATGATTTTAAGTGCCCTGTCACGCACGTTATTAACACGATGTGTAAGGAGGTCATTAAATAAAACACCAAGATATTTGGCCTGGGAAACCACCGGAACAATTTCGTTGAATAAAGAAAGCTGTTTTTTGATCGGAGTGTTTCTTCTGAGTTTCTGAGTGATCAAGAGCTGTGACTTTGAGATATTAATTTGGATTTTCCACAGTGTACACCACTGTCCAATTGAAGGAATAAGATCTTGACGCTTTTTCACTGCGTGATTTACATTTGCAGATTTCACAGCTAACCCAGTGTCATCTGCATAGCAAGCTAAAATAGAGTTTTTCTGGAAAATCTACAGCATAAAGTAAATGGAATATCGATCCTAGAGCCGAGCCCTGAGGAATACCACTACGAATATTCTTTTTGCAGGAGTCAGCACCATTTATACAAACTTAAGAATTCCTGTTCGTGATGAAAGAATGTATCGTAAGCAATAGCACAATCATCAAAGTGACAGGAAATCAATTTTGAGATAAGTCCCTCATGCCAGACGCGGTCGAAAGCTTTCGCCACGTCTAGCATAAGGAGAGCAACACACTGTTTATTATGAAACGCTGAGCCAGAAAACTCCGTAATTCGTACTAATGGCTTGGTCGTCGAAAGCTTGGCTCGAAAACCAAATTGTTCAGGCGGTAGTAAATTAAGATAAGGTTGCACGCGTAATAAAATAATCAGTTCGTAGATTTTTCCTGGTAGCAAGCTGATCGGCCGATAACCGTCAGGTTTATTGCGATCCTTACCAGTCTTAGGAATCAAAATAACTTTTGCCCATTTCCATAATCTAAGAAAATAGTTGTGGTACAAGCATGCATTTAAAATGCTGCTCCGTTTACAAATATAGTTGTGCTGCAGGTTTTTGATAGCAGCATTTGTGATGCCGTCATTACCCGGCGCATTACGCAGTTTAAGGTTTTTAATAATATTCACAACTTCCGCAGGAGTGTCAAATTTCGGAATATTTTTGATAGTTGGTGCACAGATTCACTTACGTACTTGAAGTAACAAAGATGATTCGAAATTTTTATCAACAGGCTATTCATTTGGCGTGAATTGCGTTTCCAAATACTAAGCAACTCCCTGGCAGTGGAAACACTGCAGTGGCTTAATACAACCGTTATATCTCTCCAGAGTGATTTTCATTCCATTAATAAATTTTTCATGGAAACTCTCATGGCTCTTATCTTTTCTTTCAAGAGTTATTAGAAACAGGGGGAGGTTGATCACTTAGCCGTTTCTTCATCGATCGGAGTATATGAAGCTAGACTTCTGATTACAGCTTTGATGCATCTGTTCTCAGGACGTTCAAAAATGTGATAGCGGACTTCAGCATCCAAGAGCACCTTAATGATTTGTCTGTATAAAGCTGGAATCTTAGATTGGATTTTGAAGCCACTCTGAACTAACTGTAGGTAATAATC